TCTTTCTTTCTTTCTTTCTCTCTCTCTTTCTCTCTCTCTCTCTCTCTCTCTCTCTCTCTCTCTCTCTCTCTCTTTTTCTTTTTTGGCACCAGGGATCAAACTCAGAACCTTTTGCTCGCAAGGCAGGTGGTGGCACCACTGAGCCAGCCCTGTACATGGATTTTCTGATGGATATAAATAATTTTGGAATATGCTTCAACATTTGGTATTTTGCTTTATCATACTTATTATTTGAGATGGTTTTCCTAATTATTCATTATCATTTTTCTCAAAGACAGATAGTGAAAGCATTTTCAGACCAGAACATTGCTAAATTCTGTGTTGATAGGATCCTATTCTAGGTTATGTTCAGTAAATATCGATGAATGTCCAGTGATACATCTCATTGTCGTGAATATTGCAGACATCGTGTGTATGACATGTTATATAAATACATGCATTTACATATGAAGGCACTGAGTCAGCTACCTGCTATGGTAAGGATGCTTCCTGTGTGGATCTAAGGATCTGCATGGGCTCCTCAGGTGTGCTGTTAAGGGCATCACCAGAGCTGAACACTGTGTTTTTTCTTTCTCACGATTCTGACGTGGTTAAAGTATTAGTTGCATTTGTTAGTCTTGTAGTGTTTCACCGATTTTTAAATCATTACTTCCCAGTTATTTCAGTTATTGGAAAATATTTAGAAAATGCAGCTTCAGGATGTGCAAGATGATATTGAGTCTCGGTTTCATCATTTGATCGCTTCAGTGCTTTGGGAATGTCTAAAAATAAATAGAAATATAATTAAATTTGTAACAACATTGAAAAGCCAAGCTGTGGCATTATCGAGCTGGAAAGTTTTCATACTTGTTGGAGCATGCAGAGGAAGGGGTTCAAGTTAAGGGAAAGGTTTTTTATTTGAACAAATGCAACAAAATTTACAGTTTGAAAAATGCTTGTATTTTCCTGAGAAAGGAGCAATGAGGCTTCGCACAGGAAGAACGTGGAGGGGCATTTCTAAGGAAAGAAACGCAAGAATTTGAGTATCCCAGAGGTGCACTGTGAATAGATGTCCTTATCCAGCGTCAGTCGCCCCCACAAGGCATTTGCAGCATCACGAGACGTACCGAGAGTGCTTACTAGTAAGAGGGGCTGCAGTCGCCCTTCCAAATTCTTGATTCTAAAATAAAAAGGAAAGTATAATTTTGCTACGGTTCTATGCATTTTTAAAATGCTGACTTGTCAAATTTTTCAGTGTGCCACAATAATGAAGGCTGTGACTTATTTCTTGTTCACATAACAAACTGACCAGAGCTGAGAAACAGAACAGGCCTGAGCCGCGTGTGGTGTGGTCAATCACACTGACCTGAGACACTGAGCAGCTGGGAAGGGAAAACACACAAACTTGAAAAAATGTGCAACTTATTCTTGCTTTTCAAGATACCTTGGCCAAATCCCAAATTCAAGCATTCCTTCACTCTTTGAGTAAAAAATAAATAATAATAATAAATAAGTGCTTATTTTCCCCTTTTAGTAGGGCTTGCATATCCTCTGAAGCAAAACAAGAAGCATTTCAAGAATGGTAAGGAAGGAGGATTTCTTATAAAATGGAGTAGGGGAAACATAATAAAGCCATGTGTTGGATTTTTCAGTAGCTTTCTTGGGGTTGCCATGCATGCTAGCATTTTTGCATTCGATAAGTCTAGTGGTCATTATTAGTATTTTGCAGGATATATATATATATATAATATATATATAATATATCTTTCTTTTGGACCAATGATCGAACTTGGGACCTTTCATTTGTAAAGCAGGTGGCAGAAATACTGAGCTAAATGTATATTCTTATATATGTATATGTGTGTATATATGCATAAGTATGTACATATGTCTATGTATGTATATTCTTATTTTATTTAAGAAATTTAAGATTTTTTGTTGTTGTTGTTGTACCAGGGATAGAACTCGGGTCCTTGAACTTGCGAGGCAGGCAGCGGAACCACCAAGCTAAATCCCTGGCCCAAGAAATTCGAGATTTTAAGTCTAATTTATTTTTCGCAAGTCAAAGCCCCAGCATTTACTACAATTATAATTATATATGTAAATGTGAAAATTCGCTGCAAAGTAGAATACATTGTATCTTCCTCTAAAATGGATTGATAAAGCCAGAGGAAAGAGGGAAACACAGAGGTCTCTGATACCCACCCCCGGAATATGTCAAAGAAGCAGGCACCTCCCTCTTCTCAAGCTTCCTTTTTATTTAGGAGCTGAGGTGGCCCTGGCAGGTGTGACTGCAAGATTTCCCTGACCCGCTAGACGGGACTGCTGGCCGATCAGAACTCTCCAGGCCTCACAAGCACAGAAAATAACAGTGAACTCTCGTCAAAATAATGGGCACCAATTTCGGTGTCTTAATACAACCTTTAAATTTTCCTTTGTTCTCAGGACATAGCAGAGGCGCTCTGGCCTGCAGCACGCGTGCACTGAACTGCAATCCTCTCACTTCCCAGATAGAAGTTTCTCTCTGGGGGACTAACTTGGATATATGTATTTTTTTACTTTGACGTAAGTAAGCCTGGCCAGAGCTGCTAAATATGTACTTTATGCGGAGTGTGTCCAAGAACAAGGGTTGTGTGGGAAGAAATTAATGGCAAATGTCTTCTTGTTGATTTTAGATGCTGGTTATGGTTCTTCTCTTGTTGTTCAGACTCTTAAAAATATTTTAAGCACCGGGCTTGGTGGCTCAGGTCTGAAATCCCAGCTGAGGCAGGATTGCCACAGGTTCAAGGCCAGCCTGGGCTACATACATAGCCTGGGCTACGTAGTTCAAAGCCAGCCTGAATTACAGAGCAAGACTCTGTCTCAAAGCAAAGCAAAACAAGACATTAAGGTTTACCGTTTACTGGGACTATAAAAATCCACTAAGAAAGAGCCCTGCTGTAGGATCCAGGGTGTCTGCTCCCATAAGATCCGTTACTTGCTGAACTGAACAAGCAAGTCGTAAGCCTCCATCTTAGCCTTGAAAATTCCTCAGACAGATGCAAACATCACATCCCATGTGGTCACCGTGGCCGTGGACGCATGTCAAGCAGCCACGTTTTGCGCGAGTCCACACTTACCTTACACAACCTACAGCCTTGGCTGTGTGGCTCACCCCATTTCTTCCCAGCTCTGGTCCCCTATACGGTGTGAGGAGGAGCAGAGGGATTGTGTAGTTCTTGGATCGCCCAGACTACAGAATGAACATTCCATTCTGTGATATGGGAATACCTGGTAACAACTCTAGTGCTCCTGGTCCTCGAAAGCTCACTGAAGCCTGAGAAAGAAATGTTCTCATTTTGATGTCCAGTTACACTAAAATACTGCTAAGTAGGTACTGTTCATAGGGTTTCCTATATTGACATAAATGGCTAATTTGAATTCCTTTGTGTATATAGCAATTTCCACAAGCATAAGAAATAATAAATATTGGGAAATAGAAATTGTTCAAAAATATATCACATGAGAAATATTTTGTTTATACAAAAAAGGTATAGAATTATTAGGAAATGAGCTGAGAGATAGATTAGTAAATGAATATAATCTTTTAAGATCATGATACACAGGATACACAGTGTATTTACATTGTTATTATCTAATAATTTTTGTTATGAAAAAATATGTATTCATAGGATGGCTTATTAATATCTACTTGTATTACATTAAAATTGAAAAAGTATTAGGGCTTTATTTCCCTATATCCTCACCAGTTTTTTTAATATTTCATAAAACTTTTGTCAACACATAGGGAAAATTTTTCATATTTTAGGTTTCATATGACAATAATTTTATTTAGATGTGATTGACATCTCATAAGCTACATATAATCTGTTTTTAAATTTGCATATATATTTCTAACTATTTTTTATTTACCTATTCTGTCAAACTGCTCAAACAACACAATTGAGGTAATGAATATTTTCATTAGCTCTTTCCATCTCAAATCCTTTCTCCCTGTTCCAACTTGTGCAGTTTTCATATTCTCTTTGCACATGAACATTGGTATGATTTCTGTCACGTGTGTGTGAGTTGGCATTTTCTAGATTTTTGAATAAATGAAGATATACAGGACGCCTGTATTCATAGCTCCAGTTCAGTCTACAGCACATCTGCTCGTTTATTCAGAAGGTCAGCTGGCCCTTTCGTTAGGAGTTTTGAATCTGTGAAGCACTTTGTGGAGAACTGATATTTAAAATATTAAATAGTCGTGTTTGTTCTTCAATTCCATTAAGCAATATTCTGCAGGTTTAGTGCGTTAGTTTTGCTCTTTATAATTAAATAAACCAAGGCTTGCACTTATACATTAACTTTATCTTTAAATATTTTTATTATATTGCTGTTTTTATCCTGCTCTTTAGTTTTCTTTCTATGTCAAACTCCTTCACAGACTCAATTTAATTATCTTCATATTTGTTTATTGATGCAAGTGTATAAAATTATTTAGGATTTGAACTGTCCTGTGGCCACTGAATTTCCTAATTCCACAGAGTAGTTTTGTGTAGGATATTTGTAAATGACAGTGGAAAATGGAACTTTAAAGGTGAGAATATTGTTCTTTTAGAGATAGACACCTTCTTCAAACTTCGCCTGCTGAGCACACCAGAAGCATCTTGCTCTCTGCAAAAGCAAGGACAGAATATGCAGATGCTGTCCCAGGAGGCTGGGGGCCTGGGTCCTCTCCAGGAGAAAATGAGCTGAAGGTCACTTCATGTGATAAAGCAACAGTTCTGAGTTCCCTTTTCTCTGTCCCTTACTACAAAAGACCCTTGCCCAACTGTGCAAGGTAAGGTGGTGATTCGAGGCACATGGGCCCTTCCCTTAACTTGGAGATAGCTTTGAATAAATCCTTTTTCTCCTACTTACCAACATACGTAGCCTCCTTTGATCTAGTCAGTGGTGAGAAACAAACGTCAGCGTATAAATCTGAGTGGCTGGTAACACAATCACTGAAATACTCTGTAACAACCCCTTTGGGATTTTCAAAAATACTGATTAAATTTCATAAGATTCTTTTTATGTGTTCTTTGTGGCTTATTTCCTAGTGGTAGGCAATACTATTACTAGCTTCAGTAGTATAGTGACTGAAGACTCATCATATCTACGTTTGGAATAAATGGGGATTTTAAAGTTAATTTGTATTAACTTTGTTCATTGTTTCCACAGACAAGTAAACATATTGGCACTGTTTCAAGGACATAGTGTTTGGTTAATACATAAGCTATATTTAACTTCAAATTGTATTAATTGCTTTTATGATCTTAATGTTGACTAACATTTAGGAGCAGTGAATGCATTTCTTTTAATTTCTCTTTGAAATGTCTGTATGTCCAGCCCACTGTTAGTTCCAGCATATGTGAACTAGACTTAAAATAACAGATTTGATGCCTCAATATAATTTCTAAAACTCAAAAGGTGTTTGTGCTCAATGATTATCTTGAACAAGGCTGCCCTGTACCCAACCCACCCTGAACTGAGAAGCAAAGTGTGTTTGAATTGGCTGATCATTTCTCCTTTTGAAATCATGTGCTATTACTACGAGCACCACCCACATAATTAACCCATCACAGGCCTGGCCTGCTCAGTTTCTGATGTGGGTCTTAAGTCACTCACCTCGGCGGGATCCAACCCTCTGGTCTGCTTTTCATTGTCTTGCTGGCAGTGGGTCCTGCTTCATGTTCACCCTTTGTGCCTTGTAGTTTAACTAGTTAGAACAGTTGATACACACTGGTAAACAGGCAGACGAGAAGCCTTACTCGCTCAAAAATGATAAAGATGTCCGACAAAAGCAATTAAACCAGTCTGGACCAAGAAGAAGTGCACTGAGTTTTCTGTATCATCTCTTTAAAAAAATCTTATTTCAATGTAATACAAGTAAATATTAATAAAGATCTTTACTTCTGTTTAAAGCAAAATTTCCTAACAAATTAAAGAATAACATTAGTTAATATACCATGTACCACAACCTTAAAAGAATTAGAGTATGAGTCATAGACAGAAAGACTTGTAGAAAAAAGAAATATGTAGATAAAAGAACAAAACTTTCTTTTCAATGAACTACAAGGACCCAGCAGTATAAGTGACATAGGTTAGCGTATATACTGAAATATTTTTGAAATAAAATTTGGGGAATTATTAGAACTCCTCCCTACTTCCTATTTCTCTATCTTCTGTTTTCATGTTTTTCTTTGACATTTGATTGAAACTGAACAATAAATTTTGGCTGTATTTTACATAAGTGGTTCACTGCAGAAATTTACATCGGTTAGAAGAAAGATGATTAAGGAAGACCCAGTCTTGTGGGATATTTTCTCAGAGCAGGAAAGTCAGAGTTCAGTGGGGGAAAAGGCTTCAGCCTGCCCAGTGTGAAGGGACCCTGTAGAGGGGCTTGTTATGACACATAATAGTTCACTTACTGTCGAGAGCAGTTAAGGGTTTACATCAGCAAGGATCATGGAGAGTGGAACCTAAAGAAGCTGCTCATTACTGGCAGCCTTTGCCTCTGAATAGCAAGAAAAATCAAGCTTAGCCTTTTGGTTTCTCCCATGTTCCTCACTTGGCGCCATTTCTATTTGACGTAATGGAAGCTAAATCCTATCTACACCTCAGCTATGAAAAAATATCAATTAATTGTGTGTATCACACACACTGTTAAAAGCATGCCTTAAAAGGAGGATCAAAAAGTACTTTGAAAATTTATAATAAATTAATATTTGTTATGTCTTTTAATATTTTTGATAGTCACAAGACATGAGTATAAGGAATACTTCACTTCAAATATGTATCTGTCCACTTCCAAGTTCCAAACTCCATGATCATTCTGTAATTTTAAAGTTACTTGGAAAGCGTACTAATATTGTTACCTACCACAATGTAGCTAGATTTCTCCAATATCAATCTGCTTTTTTCAAGTGCCAATTTATATTTATAGCTTTTTTATAAATGATTTTTATTTAAATTTAATCTAGTACTAATTTTCTGATATAAAGTTCCAACCAGAAATAAATTGAATAGCATCTCTGTCAAAAATATATTTATCACATTTATTGACTGCTTGAGTACCGTAATCCAAAATAATGAAAAAAGGTTATGAAAAGATTTCTTTTTGAAATTCTCCCATAAGTATCATAATTAATAAATCATCAATTATTCAACTAAGTAAATTAATAAATTAATTAAGCAATGAATTGATGGAACAAATAAATAATCAATGAACAAAATAAAGTAATGAATTAGGGACAGTGTGTGTCACTAATTATTTATAGAGCTACACTACACAATATTTTATTAATATATAAAATATTCCTGATGACACAGGCCTTGATCTATTGAGTTTACATTATAACAGAACCATTGGAACAATGACACCTTAAAAGAGTCAACTTTTTTCTATCAAAAAGGAAAGACATTTAAAACCTATTTTAAAACTGCTGTGTTTTTACTCTTTTTGATTGCAAAATGGCAATTTTATGTGGTGCAAATTAAAAGTGTTATGAGAGAATTCATACTGTCCGAGTTCATTTAGGGGAAAGGGCTCCCTGTCCTTATCCCGACTGAGATGGGTGTGAAGCAGGTGTAGACCGAAGGGTTTCCCACCCAGAGTCCCAGCCCCCGCAGCACAGGCGGGGCTGCACCTAGGCTGCTGGCCCAGAGCGAAGTATCCTGGCTGATGCTCTGGTTACTCCTGGTGGCCAACTGATTGGTCTCATGTAAGCAAAGAACCGCCCCTGGATGATTACTCCTGCTTGTCCTTGACTTCTCTGGCTTCTTAGTCAACACCTTTGCAAGTTTTATTCAGAAATTCTGATTAGATGCTGAAAAGGACAAGTTCTAAATTTAGCACTTTACCTGTGGTAACATTTCTCTTCCAAGAGTCCTAACAAAGTTTTCTTTCTCCTGTCTTAAAATGCATTAAAGCACTGCACAGTATTGACTCATAGTATGCTAACTTCAAATGTCTGAAGGGATAGAATCTTTACACTTTTATTAGACTCCATTTACTATAGAATTGATTTCATGCATTTTGTACTTCTACCTTCCTTTCAGATATCACTCCATCCCTCAATGTATTTTGTAAGCATGCCACATTCACATGAGAACAGTTGTTACCAAAATTCAGTACTAGTCGTATTATTCCTCAGGAATAAAACTGTTACTAGTTGAAATATCT